TAGTGCTAACTTGACACACGTAAGTTATTCAATGAAAACCATTTTTTCGAAAACAAAAACAAAATTCGGACATGCGAAATCGCTGGTCGCCACTTGCCATTTACACGGAGACTGTTCCCCCCTAGGGCATAAGATCCAGCAAATTTCGATAATTCAATTTTTGCGAGGTCAAAAGTGTATAATGGCTGGACAAGGACGACTTTCAAACGCTGCAGCATGTCCACCACTGTTTGGAAAATGCAGCACTGGTTTTTCTTACACAGAATTTGATCAGATGAGCATTGGTTTTTTGAGGACCTCGATGATACTCGGATCCTAGAGGCGGGGCGTCGCTTATCTCGCTGCAGCAACTGATCGGCTAAACAGGGGGCCTTGCAGCACTACCTATTCGTATTGCCCAATCCCTCCCTGTCTCGAGGAACAATCAGAATACGGGACTCCTGACATACTCGACTCCCCAAAAAACAATTTTTTTAACTGTTTTTTTTTTTACCCTGACTGGCCTTAGGCGAGGCATCAGACCCATTTCGTGTTCCCTCATGCATGAAGTCACCAAATATATCTATGGCCTCTGGGACCCCTATTCTACTCGGTTTAGTTTGATGGGCTCTCCTACCATGAAGCAGGCAAACAAAATGTAAGAATTTGGGATTTCCAAATTATTGATTATTGTTTACCCGTGTGAACCCTAACTCTCAATCTACGGGTTTTTCGTTTAGCATTGCATGCAACAAGTGTCTAGTTCATTACTAGCTGAATAATATCTGAAGTACAAGGTGATCGTGTAAAAACGTTGCAAAGGACGCGGAAGATGTAAGTACATTTAAAAAATCACTTTTTTTAATACACAGTTAAATATAACAAATAAAAAACAACCTTCTAGTCCATTCAGTTTTAAATTTTGCCACAATAATTTTTGTGTGACCGACAACGAAATTTTCATATTTATTTATTTATTTGAAGAAACGGGTTGTGTCTGTAAGACTCTCATACATCACCGAAAAAATGCATTCATTTTATTTGACACATCTGATGCACATACATTTCACTCATTTACTTCAACAGTGTCATAATTCAAAAAAATAAAAATTTGGAAATGGCCGTGTAAAAATTTCGTGGCTGTGCCGATTACCAGTAGCTCACTGGAACAAAATATGTATTAATTTTTACTATGGGAGTATATATAAATTCAAAACTTTAAAGCCTTTTTTCTCGAGTTTTTGGTTTTTTGAGTTATGACAGTATTAAAGTAAATAAGCGATATGTACATATGCATACATGTTTTTATCTGAAGTCTGAAACAAATAAATATAAGAATGATTTTTATTTATTAAGTAGTTACGGAAAAATCTAATTATTCGTTATTTTCAATAAATTATTAAAAAAAAACATAGTAAAACATTAATATTTACATGAAATTTTTTCTAACTCTTTTGCTTCCATTTATCAAAAGGCCAATATTTTGCTCTGCGACAATAGCAGACATTCGAATACTCACTGTGTTTCATCAGATATTCCCACCAGGGATGAAAAATGGAAATTTCAGATTGTACCTAATATCATAAAATAAAGGTACCTAAATGAGACAGATTGTACCTAAAAAAATTTACATCATTCATTTGTAGTTTTTTTATAAATTTTATTTAAAACATGAATACAAAGATGGATGTACTTTAAACATGATTAGGTTTTTTTTTTAACTGAGCCTATATCTATAGACTATAGTCTAATGGGAATCGAAGAAGCGTTGTTTTTGTTTAATTTTGAGTAGTTTTGTTTTAGTTTGAGTATACTTCTTTATCCAGCTTTTTATAAAACAACAGGAAAAGTCTGCTAGAAAATAATCAAATTGGCGTAAGTAACTTCGAAAGCATTTTAAATATATTTCCAGAAATCAAAAAGCGAATATGGGTCAAATAGCTATAGTTCTCATCTAAAGAAAATATGAAATTTAAAGACATCCCAGACACTGGACTGTATGTAGGGATGCAAAACATGCATCGATGGTTTTCATTATGTCATATTTTGACAACAAAATTTTTTGACATATTTTGACACAACTTTCTTTCCTTTATCCCTACTTTTACCGATGATATTATGGGCCAAAAACTTACAAATAGCCACTTTAACAGCGCATGTACACGCCTGAATGCCTGTTATGATCTAAATCAATCAAAAGCCATTTTTTAGTCTCATTTGACAATTTGTTTTCACTTATTTGACCGCAAGTGCCATTGAATTTGACTTAGTGAAAGTAAGCGTTAAAATTAATAGAAAAAAATTACGAATTTGAGGATAGCTAAGTAAAGTGTTAATTTTTCGTAGTAGCTGCTCTAAATGCAATGTAAGATGTTTAAGATAATACATAATATGACTTTTAAATTCTTCCTTTTGACCACTTTTCTTTAGAATTGTTTATTCTTCAAGATGAAAGCGAAGCTTCTCCCGTGCCTACAAGTAAATATATTAGCACGGTAAAGGAAAAAGGAAAAAAACTAAAAATGCATCTGATCACAAGATGATTGTACCTAAAATCTAGTGGCTGTACCTAATGTACCTTTAAGTCATCAAACGTCGGAAAAAGGTAAAATTGTACCTACTTTTCCATCCCTGGTACTCACTATCAGTGTTGCCGTTTTGTTCCATATACTTCAAAAGTTATACGTGTTTGTGTTCGCTCATTTCGCGAGATACTTAAATTTTTCGCGTAGTACAAATTTTGATACATGTTAAAGAGAAAATATTTATGTATGTATGCAATGGCAGCTTTTAAATTTTGATCGAAAATATTGAAACGTTTTGGGGTCAAATAAGCTTAAAGAAAAATGCTTTAAATTAACTATGCATAAAGAGCTGACTTCATTCATTTCTAATTTACTTTACTTGCCTCATAAATATCTCTGCAGCTGCAGAGCGATTTAAAATTGGTCCAATATGAAAAGAGAAATAGAATTTCATTACAAACTGTTAAGAATATGATGGGGCGTATTTATAGTAAAAATAAAGTCGACACTGAAGGCAGTCTCAGGTTTTTGACAGAATTTCCAACGCGTTTAACGTGGAACGATCACATAATTTGATAATTAACGTAAATGACCGACAGCTAATAGTTTTAAGTATGTACATATATTTGCATTCAAGTTATCTAAAATAATATTTTTGTTCGTCTATATACAAGATCAAAAACAATAATCTCTTTCTCGATAGATTGTCACAATATGTAAAATATCTTTCTTCATATACAAACATACATATGTACGTGTATGAATGTGAATTACATGATTTTTCGGTTATTGACAATATTAGAAAGCAAAGGTATGAAACCAAATAGCATTTTTTAAGTTTTTTCTGACTTGATACTTTGTTCCTTAAATAAAAAATTTTTGATACATTTGATTAATTTTTTGTTTCTTTTACGATACATTTTTTCATGACGTCGCGGCAACACCAAAAAACGCACCAAGCACCACACTCAAAAATTTTCGCGTGTTGAATTAAGAAAAGCACTAAATTTAGTGCGAGAAGCACTAAGTTGGCAACAGTGCTAATAAATAAAACTTAAGCGCTTGAATGTTATTTTGTGAAATAAAAATAAATCTCACTCTTTCCTTAAATATTTATTAAACTATACAAATCTCTTTAACATTGACAGGTTGTCATTCGCTGAAACAAATACATACCTACAGTTGTCCACGAAATAATAGGAGTGCGATATTTTGACCAGTTTTGGATATTTGTCTTTTGTTTGTTTAATGTTTATTATTTTTTTATAAAAGTCTAGCTAGCTATTCAACAAACACCATATAAATTCAGATTTCAAACTTGGAACAAAAATTATAAAAATTTCGGAAATTTTCACCCTAATTGCTGACGGTATCACGCATTTTCTTCCATTCAAAGTAATTTTTTATATGGAAAAGAGTGCATAACACCGTCAGCAAAAAAAATTATCAAAAATCAACGCGATTTTTTAGCAAATTAAGACTTGCACTTTATTATACTAGAATTTAATAAGCTATAAAACGGCATACCGAAAATAATTTTAGAAATTAAAATTAAAATGCATGGAATTGGGATTAAAAGTTTGTGGAATTTTTATAATTTTTGTACAAAGTCTGAAATTTACATTTATATGGTATTTGTTAGATAAACTGCTATAATAGAAAAGTAGTCAAGACTGGTAAAAATGTTGACGTGCTACCTTTTGTCGCGGGGTGTATGCATATATGTAATACTCCTATATTGGCGTAAGAGCTAGTACCGTCCGAAAACACTACGGTACAGATATATCAATAAACACGTACGAAAGAAAAGGAACACACACGTTTATAAATAAACATGTACACAACACATATACAAAAACGGCACTCAAGTACACAATACATTGACAAAAACGGTACTAGACTGTCTCGCTTTGATTTCGGAATGCTTACACATAGAGAAGTTAGCTTACTGCCAATATAGAAGTATTACATATATGGGTGTATGTATCTGCATATATTTATATATTTTTAACCAAATAACGTAGTAGTAAGAGCAAGTATCAACAATATCCTTGATATAAATACATATACATACATATATGTATGTGCTAGGAATGTTTTGAATGTCAAATTTTTCACATTCGCGAATACGAATGCGAATTCGAATGTTAGGAATAACGTTAAAAAGGCTATATATAATCAACTTAAGTCATCGTTATATAAATTACGCTGGTTTACAGCAAAAATGTTCAATGGATGCCACTATCCAAATCCTATATAGAATTACTCGCTGATTCTGAAAATCTAGTTAAATTTTAATTCTATGGATAGGTTTTCGAGATATTTTTTTACCGTTATTCAGCTTAAAACAAAAATTGGTTCCACTTAATCACGTATATCGTACGAACCAATTTAACAATCTTAATATGAAATACGGCAAATGAAAGCTAATGAAATTCTCCATATATACATCACTTTCCGATAGGACTGATAGTCTGACAAATTAGTTAATCATTCCAGTTTGAATTTATTTTTTAATGAAAAAATGAAAAAAAATCTAACTTTAACAGAAGAAAATTAAAAAAATATCAGGTTCTGTGCCAAAATTTAGCATTTGTGCTAAAGCCTGTTCTGTTACAAAAAATCAAGTTAAGTGAAGAAAATCGAGGGATAAATAAAGATATAATGAGTGGTCAAATGAAAATACGCAAAGATTTTTTGTATGAAAAATGAGCAGGAAAGAATGTTACTCATACGCCACGTACACCTGAGTAACACTCTTTTCTACTCATATTTCATACAAAAATTTTTTGCGCATTTTCATCTGACCACTCATTACTTCCTCATTTATCCATAGATTTTCTTCATTAGTAACTTGATTTTTTTGTAATCTTTAATTTTTCTTCTGTTATAGTTTGATTTTTTAATTTTTTCATTAAAAAAAAAAACTGGAATGATTTTATTTTGTTTATTTGTTTATTTATTTATCGATTCATCCTAACACAACAATTAAGGAAATTATTTTATAGTGTTAGTCACATTGAGATAACATTGAATTAATAGATATAAAATACGTATAAAAACGGAAAATTTTAAAATTTTGTCCCTGCAAACCATTTTTTCAGAGTATTCTGCATTGTAAAGAAATTTTAAAGAATTCTTTAAGATTTAATTCGATTTTTTGCCGAATTTTCTAAAATGAAATAAATTACGCACACTTCCATTCTTTTACGAAATTTCGGAAGAAAATCTATGAAGCAACGAAAATAATGGTGCTATGTGAAGAATATCTTTCAGAATTTTTCCAGAATTTTCTTTATTTTTCGTACAGAAATTTCTTTACGAGTTCGTGTCAACCACTTCATATAATTTTCTTTGAAAATTCGTAAAAAAATCGTTACAGAAATGAGATACTCCTAACGATTTTCTTAAGATTTCGGGAACTTTGGTTTGCAGGGGTATTACATAATTTCATATTACAACAAATATATTACAATAAATCTTTTTGTTTAAGTGCAATGAAAAAGAAGAAGAAAAGAAGAAGAAAAAAGAAAAGAAAAGAAACAAAAGGTTAAATATATTCACTGTTATTATAGTAGTTGGTTAACTCTTTTTTGAAAAGCAGTGCATTTTTTATAAGTCTTAATCTAATAGGAAGAGAGTTCCAAAGACGTATAGAGTTAAAAAAGAACTGATGCTCGGACACAAGAGTCCGATACTTAGTGTGAACTAGAAGTGAAGACCTCGGCGGATGTAGGAATTGAAGTCTGTCGTAAAGATATTGCGGTTCTTTAGTGTGTATAATTTTGTGGAGTCAATTAATTGATTTGTCAGAAACTATCAGTCCTATCGGAAAGCGATGTATAAATAGTTTATGGAGAATTTTATTAGCTTTCACTTGACGTATCTCATTTTAAGATTGTTGAATTGGTTCGTAGATATACGTGATTAAGTGGAACCACTTTTTGTTTTAAGCTGAATACCGGTAAATTGCAAATATCTCGAAAACATATCCATAGAAAAAAAATTACTCTATTTTTGGAATCTCCGAGCAAATCTAAACTCTAAAAAAATTTTTGTTTAAATTTGCGCATATTAAGATAGGTAACCAGTTTCCTCTCTTAATGAATGCAAATTTACACACTACTTGCTTACTTTTACTTATCATATGTGTGGCGTAGAACAAATTTCAAATTGGTTTTTTGATAAATGTTCATATTTTCATAGTTTACACATAAAATGTTTAAAATTTCCTCTAAAAAATTTTCGTTTAAATTTACGCATATAAAGAGAGGTAACCAGTTTCCTCTCCTAGTGTGTGCAAAATTTACATATCAAATTTGTCACGTAGCGCACACAAGGGGTGGGTTTTGGGGTTAAGTTTATCATGATTTAAGAAATTTTGATAGAAAAAAAATTCTTTCCCATTTCGGGTGCGTCATTTTGTAAGAATTTTTCTTTTTTCTTGAGAGCTCTTTAAAGTTTAACTGCGAATGAAAACATTGTCCTAAAAATATGCAATGCATGCTCACTTACAGTTGCCTTTTACACTTTACAGCCTAAAAAAGTTTACCACTGATATGTACTTAACAAGCATTCGAAGATTTAATTTGCTAACTTGGAATTCGTTCCACCAAAATGAGCTACATGATAAAAATACAAGTTCAGCTAAATTTTCGTTATTCGAAGTATTAAAAAATGAGAAACCAGAAATCGACGAAAATGAATAAAAAAGTGTAAAAATTTCGTGAAATGATTTAATTTATTTATATTAAAATCTTTTGTAAAATTTTGTATTACTTTTGAAAGTTGAGTGCATCTTTAACCGTTAATTATACCTTTCATGAGCATGAAATGGTATTATAACTTTGGTCCGATGTTTGTAAGTACCAGAACAAAAAGAGATAGACCCATGAAAATGTATACTTATATGATCAGAACGTCGAGCTGAGTTGATTTAGCCATGTCCGTCTGTCCGTCTGTCCGTCTGTCCGTCTGTCTGTCTGTTTGTATGCAATCTAGTCTCTCAGTTTTCGAGGTATCCGGATGAAATTTGGTAGGTGGGTGTATTTTTATAATGTATTAATCATTTGTCGGAACCGGAAGAATCGGACCACTATAACATATAGCTCCCATACAACTGATTGTTCAGATATAAGATTTTTCATTATAACTTCGCCATTTATGCAGCTACGAACATGAAATTTTGCAATACTTGCACCCATTATCAACAGAATACTTATAGTGAAAATTACAAAGATCGGGTCACTATAACCTATAGCTCCCATACAACGGATTGTTCAGATATAAAATTTTGCGTTATAACTCCTCCATTTATATAGCTAGGAACATGAAATTCCGCACTGTTTTCAATAATTATCTACAGAAAACTTACCGCGAAAATTAAAAAGATCGGGTAACTA